TGGTTGTGTAGTCTGGCAGCCGAAATCTTTAAAGTCGGTTATTAACCACTATCTAAGACTTAGCCTTCTATGTACGCTCAATGGGGTGATGTGTAGGTTGATTTACAGAATTGTAAGTTTTTTTTGTGTATATTTACAGCATTTGAGTTGCTTCGTTTCTTCTTTGGATTTGGTTAGGCTTGAATGTGCATTAACCTTGCGCCTTGTAGAATATTGGGAAGAAGGTGTTAATGAGATAGTCTTTGTTTTTGCTCCAATCCCCCACCCCCCATTTGTGTGTGTATGTGTGAGTGTGTTTTGCCTCACTTTTTTTTTTTGCCTTGGCAATGTGCTTGTGTCTTATTGGTTCTAAACTGATGTTTATGTATTTTTTGTTTGTTGATTCGGGTATCAATATTGAGACTGATTTATCAGTATTGTTGTTGTTTACCATTTTAGGAGTATTTCCTCCATTTTGAATTTATCATTTTGAAGCAATTTTGTTTGCGTGGAATTATTCTGATTCTATCTCTATGAGCGGATTAAAGAATGGAACGTTTGTGAGCTATAACATAAATTGATTAAACTTTTAAACAGCTTTTATTTAGATTTGGTTATACAAGGAGAAGGAAATGAAAGACATGTCGTTTTCTTTTTAGTATCTGTTGAATTTTTTTTTGTTATGGATCACATGATGAAGGCATCAGCTGGGTGTTTTCCCCATATGAGAGTTAACTCGCATTACTATATTACTGGGTATTGAAAAATATGTTTTAGCTCAGGTTTTTGAGAGAAACCAATGAAAAAGCATTGCACTTATTAGTTTGGGTTTCTTTCAGTTAGCGATTCAATGTCTTGTTCATGTTTATGTGGGTGCCAAGCAACTTAGTTTCATAAGAGTGTCAGTATATGCGGCCGGTCATACAAGTATTATGAATCTTTGAATTTATGTTTTGTCTATACTAATATTTTGATTTGATTATTAATACGTTTCTTTTTCATGTACCTGTGGCCCTTGTCATTTATGCGGCCCCTGGCTCTGTACCATTCCCCTATCTCTTTTCTTCCTGAGGCTATCAAACGTTTAGAATGGCTATTTGTGTATTTTGGGCTGTTTTATTAGTCTAAGTCAGATATGTATCATTTACTTCTCTCATATCTGTGTGGTACATGAGTTAATAATTGATTTGTCTTGCTGCAATACTATTGTCTTTTGATGCTGCAGATGATTTACTAATTTTCTTGATGTTGCATGTATCATTTTCTCAGTTGATATGATCTTTCTGTGGAATTGTAGTTTCACTAATTCTTTTGTCAATGCTCTTATTGACAACCTAGCTTATTGATTCTCACCCAAGACCTTTGCCCATGCCCAAAAGCGTTTTGTGTCAAAATGTGAACTTAAGGGTTCCTGAGAGTTTGTCGGATCCCAGATTTTGCCTCGCAATGAGATAGTATGACGTGTGGATTTGAATGGTCTGGATGATCATTGATGTATGTTTAAAATTTCTTCTGTTGTGTTTTTTTGTTTGATGTTTATCTATATGTTTTCATTACTGTGTGGATTTGTTTGTTTCGATGCTTTGGAGTGTTTTTTTTTGATTCACGGCCCTGATGGTTCTATTAGGGCTGTTGCAAGTTTATTTGTGTGAAGCACAGATTGAGTTCTCTCTTCTTCTTGCCTCGCTCATTTTATTCTATGAACCCGTCAATCCCCGAACCGACGACTGATGCTCGTTCTCTCCTTCCGTCTCTTTCTTCAAGGTACTTGGTTCTAGATGAGAATGAGTGCCAATTTCATTTTATGACCATGGTTGATGATGTTATTGGATGTATTTCTCTCTTCCGCCATTTTTCAAATGCAGTATTTTTTATTTATTGTAGTGATCAGAAGAACTAGTGATTTATCGCTTATTTGCGATTTTATTGTGAAATCGCCTTTTCGTTCATCCAAAGAGCTTTTTTTCTTCTTTTTTCTCTTTTCTTCCATGGCTTGTATGGTTTTGTGGTTGGAAAAATGGGGTATTCGATTTGTGGTTTGCTTTTAGGTTTGTGTGGTTACTTGTATGTTGGGTTTCGCTATTTTGGTTCTTTTTTTTAATGGTTTGCCGTGAGGTTGTTTTAGGGTTTTTGAATTTCTGATATCTTCCTTAGTGGTCTGATGTGTGTTGTGGTGTTGTGTTTATGTTATTGAGTCTGATCTGTTGGGATTAAAGGACTGTGTTTGGCTTGGCTGGATCTTATGTGTTAGATTGGAGCTCTGAGTTCATTTATTTCCAATTTGAATATGCTTTTTGGTTGCTTGTGCTGGTTTGAGGGTCTGCCTGCTCGCTTGGAAGGGCTTTTCGATTATATAAGGCTGATTGATATGCTGCCTCAGCATAGGAGCTATGCTTATGTAGCATTGTACTTACAATTTTGTAATCATCTAGAGTGGTTACAAAGAACATCTTTCTACTAATGCCCAAGGTTGTCAATGAATTCTTCTATAAATTGAAGTTGTCCACTCAGGTTGTATTGATAAACTGAAAGATGTTTATCAATTTTTTGTTTTTCCGCAGGCTTACCCCGCTTTTAGTGCTCAATGACTCGGTCAGTTATATTAATGGCATGTAATGAGACTGCAATGGGAGTAGGTACTAATCTCTATGACAGATTGCTAAAAATTAGCGTATATCATATGCAATTAGATTGTCTATATAGCAATTGTGTAGCAAGTTGCTCGGGAGGGTAGCAGTGTTAGCTCCATAGCCTGTCCTGATAATTCGTTTTTGGTTAGTATTGCTGCTTTAGCATATTACTTTAGTTGGAAGGGCTCTTTAGCATTCCAATCATTTATTTGTAGGACGTAGGGACTCTTTGGCATCAAACATTTTGTTGTATGAGGTAAAGGACTTTTGGATCCCAAATCGTTTATGTCATACGATATTATTCACTCAC